AAAAGAGATGAAAGACGTTTTATGTTAGTAAATGGGCCATGTACACTGAAACAGATACAATAGTCATTCATTTGAAATGTGTGATAAAACAGAGCCCTGGCACGGTGGTTAAAGTGGCTGGGTCCCACATAGCTAACTATGTGGTTCGAGTTCTAGACCCGGCAGCTTGAAAAACACTGTGTGAATATGTCCATATGTCCAGAATCCTGAGAGAGGAGGGAGAAACAAAGGAGAAGGGATTGTGACATGACCATTCCACATGAGAGGTGCTCTCTCACTTTCCCTCTCTTCAGCAAGGGCACAGGCCCTCGAGCAAATTTAAAAAAGAAAAAACTAGTTGATAAAATGGTGAAGCTATAATCACTGTGGAAGATTGATAATCAATTAGACCAAAAAAACAAACTAAAAAGCCCAGTGTTAACTACTAGGTGAGCTGTGCTTGGCCCACAGATGTTTATTACAAAATGTTACTTATAAGTGATGAAATAATCAATTACTATTGCTACATAACAAACCACCCCATACTTAAGGGATGGAGAGACTCACAGGTAGGGGTGTCTCAGACGGCAGGCCTGAGACTGGAATCATGGGAGTGCTTATTTACTCACATGTCAGGGACTAGGCTTGGAAGGACCTGAAGACCAGGACTGCTGACCAGAGGGCCTACGCGTGGCCATCCCATGTGGACTGGCTTCCCAACACAAATGGCAGCCTCAGGTTAGTTGGGCTTCTTACATGGTGGCTCTGGCTTCCAAGCACAAGTGTTCCTGTAAACAAGGCAAAAACCTCATCACCTTTTATGACCTAGCTTCCGAAGTCACATAGGATCATTTCTCCACATTCTTCTTATTGACGTGTCATGAACTTCACTGGCCTAGCTCTGAATGGGTGGGGTGTAAAATAATTTTTGGATAGTCTGACAATCCCTTGAATCCAGTTTCTGGTCACACATTTGTTCACATCCCTTTTGTATATGGTGGGCCTTTACCCTTTCCAGAGTTGACCGCGACCTCAAAATCTAGGTTCTAAATTAGGTCCGGGGAGCAGTTGTTCCTGAGGTGTGGGGTTCCTCAGTTACAGCTCTTTGAGAACCTTGAGTCTTTTGTTGAGAGAGACTGGAAGTGAGGAGTTTTGTTTTTGAACTCTGTAAGGCAGGTTTCTTAAATATTCTCTATATTTTGCTTAGAAATTGGCCAGTTTCTTTTTCTTGTCTTATTATGTATTATGGGTAGGATATACTATTGTGTATATGTACTTTGAACCTTCTCCTTGGAGATGCGCTAGGCGGAATCCTCCAGGGCAGTGGGTACAAGTTTTCATTTTTCACCACAAGCAACAGTGTTGCTAAATATCTGCCACTTTACCCTCTGGGACCGCATCTACAGTTCTCAGGATCTTCCAGCCCTTCTCACCACCTAATCTCGAAGCTAGTACCAGGTACTGAAGGTTTTATAGTAGCATCCCACTTCCCGTGACCAAAGTTTGTGTTAGTTACTATTGCCCTGTTAACATATCACCACAAAACGTAATGGTCTAAGAAGCCCTGGGATCACTCACGGGCTAGAATCCAGGTCCTATACCTGGCCCCTCTATGTGATCTTCCGCACAGCATGGCCGCCTTGGAGTGATCAGACATTATGGTGGCTCGGGGTTCTGAGCACAGATACTCCACAAATACTCTCCAAGGAGAAGGTTCGAAGTACCAATAGTATATCCTATCCATAATAAGACAGAAGACCTAAAAAAAAAGAAACTGGCCAGTTTCCTAGCAAAATATAGAGAATATTGAAGAAACCTGTCTTATGGAGTTCAAAACCCAAACTTTTCACTCCTAGTCTCTCAACAAAATGGAGCAGGAGTGGGGGTGTGGGTGGGGGGGACTGCATCTCCTTTTATCGAGCCCTGAAAGTTATGTATGACTACTTTGTACCCTTTTGGTCAAAGGAGTCACAAACCTGCCCAGATTCAGAGGAAGAAAATAGAATGTTAAAGAAGAAAGTTGATAGAGAAGGCAAAGAAATTCAGCAAACTGTTATTCCTTGAATCAGGACTTTTCGGAAATAATTGGATTAAAACAAAAACCCTTCGGACAACTTTTTAAAAAGCATATATCGTTGACTTTATATGAGGATCATGAATAGACCTACAGGATTAATGTTTTAAAAAAGAACTAATCTTGGGGGCCAGCAGATGGCATAGTGGTTAAATTTGGATTCCCACATGGCTGACTGCTGTTAGAGTCTTGGACCCAGTAGCTTGAAAATCATGCTGGGCACGTGTGGGTGCCTGCCCAAGATCTTGGGAGGAGAATAGAGAAGGGATTGCAGTGTGGCCGTCCCGTGATTTCTCACTTTCCCTCTCTGCTGTCTCTGTCTCTGTCTCCAGCGAGCAGTGCCACCCACCCTAAGGCAAAAACCTATTTAAAAAATAATAATCTTATATGACTGAGGACTTATGGCTTGGAGTAAAATTTCGGTGATAACCTCACACATTTGAAAGCCGCTGACTGTATCTCAAGTAGCTTAGGTGAAATGAAAGCTGATACTCTGTAAATGGTGGGAGCTGACTCAAGAAGTGGCCTTACTGGTGATAAACACTGAAACGTGAAGAGTTTGAGCGAAACGGCTAAATTAAAGATTTGAGGGGCTGGCTGGTGGTGTGGTTAAAGGTGCTGGATTCCCGTGTGGCTGACCGAAGTTCGAGTCCTTGTACCTGGAAGCTCGCTTTCCCTTTCTCTATCTCAGCCTCTCTCAGGTCAAATTAAAAAAATAACAACAAACGGAGTTAAATAAATAAATGTTTTTTTTAAAAAACGTGAGAAAGGCAGTGTTTCTAAATCTTTGAATTTATTTTTTTAAGTTACTTTATTTAACTTTATTTATTATTATTATTTTCACATGAGTTTTGCCAGAGAAAGACCAAGAAAGAGAGAGAGAGAAAGCCACCAGGTCCGGGACTCGAACTGTGGTCAGCCATGTAGGAATTCCAGTACCTTAACCACCACACCACTTGCTGGCCCCTAAATCTGTGAATTTAAATGTGTGTATTTATACAGATATGTCTATGTCCCTGAAGGTTATACAAGTTAAGATTTTTTTTTAGATCTTTGGAAAACAGTGGATAATACATTTGAGGTTGCCACGTACTAAAGCCTAGAAAGCACACAGCATTACACTGAAGCGAAAAGGTTACAGTGATGACTGTTCTCTGTGTGTAAGCAGTACTCACGTACTTTATCCAGCAGGTAGATCTTGAATGCTATTTAAAAAATTATTATTTTTTTTACTTGCCAATGGGTACATGCACTCTCAAGAGAGAGAGAAGAAAGAGAGGGGGAGAGAGAGAGAGAGAGAGAGAGAGAGACAGTACTTTCCCAGTGAGGCACGGTCATACCCAAATCCTTTCTCCTCTTCTTTTCTCAGGTTTTGGGCACTCATGCACATGTGCACGCACGCACGTGTGCCCACCTGCTTTTCAAGCTGCCGAGGATTCGTGCCATTGTTCGCCCTGTTGGACCCAGCTCCCTAAACACTGTACTTAACCCCTGTGCCATAAGGCTGGCCATAGAATGCTGTTTTTAAAAAGTGAATCCAATTGCATTTTTTTTTCTTTCCTTCCTTTACTATTGCTTTATTGTACCTTTTAAAGGTTTTTAGAAAGGCCATTAGGAAAAATGACGTAATTTCCTTTAGAATGAAATTTTAAAAAGTGCTTACATATAGCAAAATTGATTTAGAAACTTTATTAAAACCTACAAATTGGATATTTCTTGGAAGCAAGATAATTGAATATGTGTGGTGCATCTCTAGCTTTCTAAACGTGTTCTCATTCAGATTTTGTCATTAACTTAGTAGTGTTTTCATTAAATTACCAACCATTAATTTATTTTAACTACCAGGAAGCCACATTAATTATTTTTAAAAGTTTCTATATTTGATAAGTCTTTGACTTAAATGTTTAAATGTACAGGCTACTTAGTGTTTTAACTTTTCTACATCATAGTCATTTTAAAATGGATATGAAAATGCCTCTTCTGGGGCCAGCAGGTGGCATGGCGGTTAAGGCATCTGGATTCCACATGGCCCACAAGGCGGTTGAGTCCCAGACCCAGCAGCTTTAAAATCACAGCAGGCACAGGTGCACACATACCCAAGATCCTGAGAGGAGAAGGAAGAAGAGATTTTGCTGTGGCCATTCCCCTTGCTGGTGATTTCTCACCTTCCCTCTCTGTCTCTTTCTCTTTGATGAGCACATACATTCTATAGCAGAAATCTCAAAAACAGAAAAAAAAAAAAAAACTTCTCTGTTTACAACATTACATTTAACAACATAAAATGCTAAACAGGTACAAAGAATTAACATAGTAAAGACAAATAATGGTTACTTTAGAAAAAACACTGTAAAAACAAATACTCCTGTTTGTTTACTTTGGTATAATGTATGTATTTTTACTACATCCTTAATCTGCAACATAGAGCAAGTTTAATATTTTTAGAAGCTTTCAAAAGTGTGTAGTAATTGTGCTTACTGAAAATTATTGAAATACAGAAATTCTAAGAATTAATCATGTTGTGGTACTGTGCTGATGTGACCCTCCAGTTATACGGGAAGATCGCGAGCTTAACGTCCTGAGGTCTCCCTATACTGAACCCAGAGGTTCCTAACCTTCTCAACATTAAATTATCTTAGAGAAGCATAAAATAGATATGATAAGGGCATTTTCCGTAAATTCTATCTGCCTAAGAACGACTACCATATACAGTTCTTATAAGATACTTTCATGTCTTCATTAGTAACTTTTATGCCCAGACCCCAGTAATCATAAAACTCTAAACTACCTGATTTCCTTTTCTTCAGGATTGCAGCCTGCATATCCTTTGCATAATTTCATACACACCTTTTCAAGAATGAATACCCTTTGTTATTTTTAAGATTAAAATAATATATTATCATAACTGCTTTCTTTAGCCAGTTTCTTTTTTTTGTGTTTACTTCTGCAGCTTTTCTGCAATTAGATAAAAAAGGACCACAAAAACAACACTTTGATCAGCCGTCCGTAGTACCTAGGAAGAACTACTCTTTCACAAGAGAAGAGGTGAGGCTGATTGATCGGGAAAATCAGAGGCTTTTGAAAGAACTGTCAAGACAGGCTGAAAAACCAGGAAACAAAAGTGTAATTCCTAGAAGATCCGTTGGGCAGCCTCCTAAGTTGTATCATAGCGCTCTTAACAGACAGAGAGAACAGCAAAGGATTGAAAGAGAAAATTTGGTAAGTAATTGAAATCTTTTAGTTGTCAAAGAAAAATGCATTTGCACTGAAGTGTAAATCCAGTTGACACAAAATACAAATACAGTCAACTTTTGAAACTTAGTTATACAAATACTATTTCAACATATAATCAATAGTAAATGTTTTTCGATACATGCAAAGTCTTTGAAATCTGTTGTGTATGTTGCACTTAGAGCATATCTCGGTTCGGACTAGCCACTATGTTGCCCAAGGGTGAGGGTGCATGCACTTGCCAGAGAGAGTGGGAGGGAAGAAGAGGGAGATAAAGCACCCTGGGGGCATGTCATGCTGCAATCCTGTCTCCTCCACTTCTCCATTCCACCAGTATTCTGAGCATGCACACACATGGCCAGTGTGTTTCTCAAGCCTCTGAGACCAGGATTTGAACCTCAGTTGGCCAAGAGGGTCTGGTGCCCAATGCACAGTATTTAGCCACTGCACTAACCACTTCACTACAGAGTCAACCTGGACCAACCACATTTCAGGTGTTCTGTAGCCACATGTGGCTGGTCTTAGGCAGTGCGGCTTTGGAGTCAAACCTAGTTTATACAGATGGGAAAAAAGTAACTTACAGCTAAACATGAAAATAAAATTTATTGTAAAATGTCATTTATTACATTCTCATGAGGAAATCTGATCTTCTAGGTTTAACTCTTCATTTTTTTCTTTTTCTTTTTTTTTTTTTTTCTGGAGAGGTTTTCGCTATAGGGCGCGTGCGCTCGCCAGATAGACAGAGAGAGACATAGAGACAGAAAGTGAGAAATCACCCCCCAGGGGGTATGGTCATGCCGCAATCCCTTCTCCTCCATTCTCCTCTCGGGATCTTGGGCACACACGCACACGCGCCCGACGTGAGTTTAAGCCACCGGGTCCGGGACGCAAACCGCGGTCGACTACGTGGGAGTCCAGCGACATAGCCATTATGCTAACTGCTGGTTCCCAACTCTTCATTTTCTAAAACAAAATAAAACTGTCTTGTGCCCTCTTTCTTTCTTTTTTTTTTTTTTTAGGTTTTTGCCATAGTATGTGTTTGCTTGCCTGAGAGAGAGATAGTGAGAGGAAGGTGAGAAATCATCCCCAGGGGAGTGATTTTCACCCAGCATGATTTTCAAACCACAAGGTCCAGGACTCAAACTGCAGTCAGTCCTGTGGGTGTCCAGCACCTTCACCACCATACCACCTGCTGGCTCTGTATTACTATAACTTTTTTTAGAAAATTTTGCAAGTTGGCTATGACAGAGACAGAGAGAGAAAGGGAAAGTGAGAAAGCATCCTCCATGGGCAATGGTCATGCTGGTAATTTTTTTTAAGATTTATTTTATTCATTATTGTTATTGTTTTAATTTGACCAGAGAGAGACAGAGAGAGAGGGGAAGTGAAGAAGCAAACCACCAGGTCTGGGACTTGAACTATGGTCAGCCGTGCAGGAGTCCAGTGCCTTAACCACCACGCCACCTGCCAGCCCCCATGCTGGTAATTTTTTTAATTGTCAGAGGTTGCATGGATTTGCCAGAGAGAGTGAGACAAAGTACCCTCAATGTGGCATGGTCACAGCTGCAGTCCTTTTCCTTCATTATTCCATCTCATCAGGATTTGGGGCACACACCCCACACCCACACATGTACCACGCAGACATGCCTAACATGTTTCTCAAGCTACTGGGGTTAGGATTGAAACTAACCCTGTGGGACCCAGCTTTCTGTGCACAGCCCTGAACCACTGCACTACAGAGCCAGCTGAACAATGTAAAGCAATGTAAAAGTACAGCTTTAACGTATGTCTTCATGCACTTAACTGTAGTACTTACTATACTGCTATAATAATTGTGTGGCCACCTCTTGTTGCCATTGTTGCCAAGATTTACTTAAAATGCCATGAGACGCTAATCATTTCACATGAGCTGTCCATCTCAGTAAATTGAGGATCACTGTAAAAAGTGATCTTTCAGTTCTCATATATTTTTCATTGTATTTAGTCAAAACTGGAAATCTTGAATAACACGGGGACCTATACAGAATGCCACTCACAGGATCCCCGGACGTCGTAATGGTTATGCAGGTCTCCCACTAGTTGACCGCGGTTTGTGTCCTGGACCCGGCGACTTAAAATTCACGGTGGGCACATGTGCATGCGTGCCCAAGATCCTAAGAGGAGAATGGAGAAGGGATTGTGGTGTGGCCATCCTTCCGGGGGGTGCTTTCTCACTTTCTATCTGTCTGTTTCTCCAGTGAGCGCACATGTCTGATAGCAAAAATCTCTCCAAAAAAAATTTAAATGGTACCAGTAGAGTCAAAAGTGCTCCAGCCCATCACATTTTATTTTTATATATAGATTTTTGAATTTATATATTATGTGACCGATATTATTTGAAATTCCAGATTGTGGAATTTATTAGAATGTTGAGTCTTCAGTTGTTTTTAAAGAATGATTTAATTTTTTTTTTTTTGAGAGGTTTTGCTATAGGGCGCGTGCACTTGCCAGACAGACAGAGACAGAGAGACAGAAAGTGAGAAATCACCCCCCAGGGGAGATGGCCACACCGCAATCCCTTCTCCTCCATTTTCTTGGGATCTTGGTCACGCACGCACACGCGCCCGGTGTGAGTTTTAAGCCACCGGGTCCGGGATGTGAACCAAGGTCGACTACATGGGAATCCAGCAACATAGCCATTATGCTAACTGCTGGTCCCTTAACTTTATTCTTTTATCTACTTATTTTTTAATTTGACCAGAGAGGACAGAGGGGGAGAGAGAGGGAAAGTAGGAAAGCAAGGCACCTGGTCTGAGACTTGAACCGTGTGGGAGTCCAGCGCCCTTAACCACCATGCCACCTGCCTGCCCCGAGTCTTCAGTTTTAAAAAATATACTGAAGGTAGGGTGGGAATAAGGTGAGAGAAGGGGGAGAGTAAGAGGAAAGAAATTGAGGAGAAAAATAGAGGCAAGACATTTATGGGACATACAAATGGATCATTATCTGTCAGTGATAATGTGTATAGTGTCCTGAACTGGACTGGCGTGAAGTATATTCATGTTGGGTATTTCACTTTACCAGCTATGTGATGTATGCTGATTGAATCTATAAAATGAATAATAATAATTAAAAAAAAAACCTGCTCCTGGGAAGCAGAGCAAAGTTACAACATTCCAAGAATAAGTTCAGTTGCCGATACTGCAGCTGAAGTGTAGATGTGGTTGTCCATTGTTTCAAGATAAATGAATCCAGTTCAAAGACCATTATTCAAAAGAAGGAAATTGATGAAGCTGCTATTGTAACCAGCATGAAAAACCTCATAGTCTGCAAAATACCTTTTACTTCATATTGAGATGCAGCGTTGTGACCAGCAGGTGGCGTGGTGATTAAGTTGCTGGGCTTCCACATGAGTGACTATGATTCAAGTTCTGGACCTGGTGACTTGAAATTCAAGCCGGGCACATGTGCGTGTATGCCCAAAATCCCAAGAGGAGAAAGGATTGTGGCATGGCCACTCTCCCTGGGAGTGATTTCTCACTTTCCCTCTCTGTCACTATCTCTCCAGTGAGTACATGCATCCTATGGCAAAAAACAAAAACAAAAACAAAAAAACAACTAGTAAAACAAAACCCAACTTTTAATGTGAGTGCAGAATTGCTATAAGAAAGGCATATCTGAAAGTATAATATGATTCAGGAAAAATTGGGGTCCATATAAACTTGAATAAATAGTATTTTAAATGTATTTTCCTTACGAACTTAGTATTTTCTTCTCTCAAAAAAAATAAATTTTCTTGGGGCCAGAAGGTGGCGTAGTGGTTAAAGGCTCTGGACTCCTGTGTGGCCAACTGAGGTTCAAGTCCTGGACCCAGTGGCTCGCTTTCTCACTTTCCCTCTCTCTCTCTTTCTCACACTTCCACTCTGTCCCTCTCTGATCAAACTAAAATAAATAAATACATTTAAAAAAAATTTTTTTGAGAGGTTTTCGCTATAGGGCGCATGCGCTCACCAGACAGACAGAGACAGAAAGCGAGAAATCACCCCCCATGGGGGGATGGCCACGCCGCAATCCCTTCTCCTCCATTCTCCTCTCGGGATCTTGGGCACGCACGCACACGCACCCAGCGTAAGTTTTAAGCCACCGGGTCTGGGACACGAACCGCGATCAAGTACGTGGGAGTCCAGCGACATAGCCATTACGCTACCTGCTGGTCCCATTTTTTAAAATTTAAATAAAATGATTTTTAAAATATTTCTTCTCTAGCTCATTTTATTGTATCGGTATAGTAAATAATACATATAATATACAAAGTATATAGCAACCAACTCTTTATATTATTGATAAGGCCCTAGTCAATAGTAGGTTATTAGTAGTTAGATTTTAGGGAATCAAAAGTTAGATGCAGATTTTTGACCATGAGGGATTTGGCAACACAATTCCCTCATTGTTCAGAGGTCAGCTGTGTTTCAACTAATGATATGCCTGATAAGAGTTATTAAATCATAGTGGTTTGATTAGCTATAGGATAGCCATATGCAGTTTTTCTGAAAGTATGTTATTTGAAATATTTTTTACACGTAGTATGTCAAAATGATTTGTGTTTTATCCGCTTCAGTGAATTTCAGGTTGTAGAAAGTATTTGTGTTTTTAAAAACTTGCTACTTACCTAACATTGACTTTGAAATTGATTGTCTCTAATGAAGGCATTATTGAAAAGGCTCGAAGCGGTTAAGCCAACAGTTGGTATGAAACGCTCAGAACAACTGATGGACTATCATCGCAACATGGGTTACCTCAATCCCTTACCGACCAGACGAGTGAGGTCTACGCTTGGCCAGTACAGCCCATTACGTAAGCATATTCCGAATTCTTTTGTACTTGTTCGTTTTCTTAAGTCGTTTTTTTTAAAGAGCGGATTTTTTAATGGTTAGAGGGCGGGCGCACTTGCCAGAGAGCAAGAAAGAATCTCCCAGTAAGGACCTAGTCCTGCTGCAATTCTTTTTTGTCTGTTCCTCCCTCCCATCAGGATTTGGACCATGCACATGTGCTTGGTATGTTTTTTAAGCCGCAGGGGCTGGTGCTAGAACAGTGGTTGGCCACGTGCGATTTGACTTCTTTAACCACCATGTTATAGGGCTAGTCTAAAAATGGAATTTTTAGGATATTCTTATGGTAGAGTTTTAAAATGCTAACCTCTGGAATATATTGTCAATTTTCACTGGCATGTTTGGTTTCAGGTTTCATTTATAGCATGTGATGCTAGCATAGCAAGGAAACAGGAATGCAAGACTTGTCAGAAGCTTTTTGATAACGGGAAATGTTTAATTTGAATATATTTATTAAAGGAAAAGATAAATAGATGTGTTCTTTGAAAGTTGCTGGAACATTCCCATAGCTAGTTAAGAATTTTTGCTAGTATCTTCCAGTGCTTATATGTGTTTTTTCTTTCTCATTGGATAACTAAAACAAAACTAAGCAAATTGCAGAGATCATATATAATCCTCTTTTTTAAAATTTTTTAAAAATCTATTTCTTTCTCTCCTAAAGAGAAAGAAAGACACACAGGGACCCCAAACAGGGTCCTGCCTTGCCACGATCCTCTCTACAGCCTGCCAGTTAGCCAGGATTGCTTGCATGCCAAGCCTATTCAGGTTGGCCTGGGGTTCAAACATGAAGCAGCACCTTACCACCTGTGCCACCATAGCTGGGCTCAAATACAATGTCTCTCTCTCTCTCTCTCTTTTGTTGCTTGAAGGCATGTGCACTCAGAGACAGAGAAATAGAGGAGAAAGCAGCCTTATTGTGCGTAGTCATGCCATAATCTCTTCTCCATCTCTCCTTTCTTTCGGAAATTTGGGCATGCTTGCACACATATCTAGTGTGTTTCTCAAACTGCCAGATCCAGGATGTGAACCATGTAGTCAGCCATGCGGGATTTGACTCCCTTAACCACCAGGCCATGGAGCCAGCCCAGTGTAATAGCTCTAATTCTTGATAAGTGATCAGTTATATACCTAACCAATTGTGTACTTCAGAGAATATAGGAATGGAGTGGCCATTTAGTGCTAGGGTTATGAAAAATCTAGAATGGTCACTTTCATTTGTGGAAATTTATGCCATTTCTTCATAAATATATTCTAAACTATATAAACAATAGAAACTGGGACCAGGAGATGGCATAATGACTATGTTGCTGGATTCCCATGTAGTCGAACATGGTTTGCGTCCCATTCCCGGTGAATTAAACTCACACCGGGTGTGTGTACATCCTTGCCCAAGATCCCCAGAGAAGAATGGAGGAGAAGGGATTGCGTGGCCATCCCCCCTGTGGGGTGATTTCTCGCTTTCTGTCTCTCTCTTTTTCACTGTCTTTCTGGTGAGTGCATGTGCCCTATGGCAAAACCTCTCCCCTGCAAAAAAAAGAAAAGGAAAAAAGAGAAATTAATACTAAAGAAAGTTGGAACTGGGTCCAGAAGATGCCGTAGTGGTTATGTTGCTGGACTCCTACATGGCTGACTATGGTTCAAGTCCTGGACCCAGTGGCTTAAAACTCACACTGGGCATGTGTACATGTGTGCCTAAGATCCCATGAGAATGGAAGAGAAGGGATTGCAGCATGGCCATCCCCTAGGGGGTGATTTCTCACATTCCTTCTCACTGTCTCTGTCTCTCTCTCTCTTTCTCTTCCCCCAACAAGGGCACATGCCCTTGGGCATAAACCTCTACTATCTATCTATATATGTCTTAAATATATATGATTTAAACACTCAAATGGCCAGTAATTTTATTAATTAATTCTATAAACATTACTTGCTTAGTTTAGGGGCTTGTTCCAAGACTATATCTATAAATGGTTATGCAAAATGTTTTTTTATTTCCCTATTGAATCATTCGAGAAGCTTTTAATAATACTTATTCTGGGAACCAGCAGATGGCTGGACTCCCTTGTAGTTGACCACGGTTTGAATCCTGGACCCAGTGGCTTAAAACTCATGCCAGGTATGTCCAAAATCCCAAGAGGAGAATGGAGGAGAAGGGGTAGCCATCACCCCTGGGGGGTGATTTCTGGCTTTCTGTGTGTCTGTCTCTCCAGTGAGCACATGTGCCCTATAGCAAAAATCTCTCTTTAAAAACAAACAAAAACACCTTATTTCCACTCTAAATTTAGTGAATCAAAACTCCCTAGTATGGAATCTGGGTATTTCCTTAAAAGTTTATTTCTTCCTGTATGAGAGAGACAGATGGTACCACAGCAGGCCTTGCCCCCACCATCCACTGCATCCTTCAGCCAGCCCGGGGTTATGAGCAAAGGTGTGCCCAGAGTGTTCAGGGAAGTCGAAGGACCAGGAACCTTCCATGTGGGTTTGCCTCCCAGAGCGTGGCATTTTGCCCCTGCACCACCTTCCAGGCCCTTCTACAATTTTGTTTGTTTGTTTTCTTTATTTATGATAAAATGCATGCACCTTCCACAGGGTCTGACCACACCATGATCCCTCCTTCCAGTCTTCCAACCCGTCAGATCTTGGGCACACGCACTGCAGGCTGGTGATTCAAACTGCAAGAGCCATGCGGGGCCTGGCTGCTCTTGAACAGCACATTACTGTTGTGCTGTGGAGCCAGCCCAAGTTCGGGCATATTTGTTATATTTTTATGTTCCATATGGAATTCTCAGGTGCACTCCTTAGTGAGAAACATTGCATTAGAGTATTGGACACCTATAGAATAGAGAAGAAAAAGCTAATCCAAACTTAAAATTAAGAGAAGTTTATCAGATGATGATTTACATATTTAGTTTAAATAGTTCAAATGCTCTCTTCTTTCTATATTTTCAGGAGGAGCTTCCAGGACATCCAGTGCTACCAGTGGTCTCAGTTGTAAGAGTGAGCGGCCAGTGTTTGACACACCCAGCGGCCTGCTGCTGAAACCTAAACCTCCTAATGTCCGTACAGCTTGGTTATAAAACCTTGTTTTAAGCATTATTTATACCATTTTTATTGAAACGCTCTTGCATGTTACTACAAGTCTCTGGGAGACATCTAATACTGTTTTAAGCAATTTAAGATATACAACTGAGTTGTAATTGTTATTCAGTGCAAAATCGTCAAAAGACAGTTTAATGTAAAAATCAGTATTTCCTATGAGGATGTATTTGTATGAAATGTATACGTATTTAATAGAGCAATAGTATGCATGTATATTTGCAATTGCATTACATGCAGTGTACAAATGGATTCAGTTGTCGTACCAACAGAACGGTGATTATTGAGTACCGTTTGCATGTTTGGCCCCCAGATGTTGACCATATAGTTTGATTTTATGTTATGTATGTTTTATGTAAGCTTTAAGCCATGCGCTTAGCTCCTAAATTTTTAAGTTTAGTTTTTTTGATGTAGAACTTAAGTGGTATAACTTACAACTTAATTGTATGAGAGTTAACTTTGTTATTATGAAACAAATCTTAACATTTGTTTTCATTGGTAGAGCTGATTTAGATCTGTTTAGATAACTGAGAGAAGATTATTCTGCGGCAACATTTGGGATTGACCGGAGGCAGAATTTCTGTTTAAGTGCAATGAGTCAGATCTTTAAATTTGATCAGCCATTCCAGACCATTTTAAACTGTGAATATTAGAAAGTATAACTTGGAAGCTCTACTTTTGTGTTTTTGTAAATTCAGGTAAAGTACTGTTAGGATTCTGATTAATAAGGTAGGCTTTAGAGCTGCAGTCTAGTGACTTGTGCATCTTTTGTCCAAAGAGCAGATCATTTGGATCATAAGCAAAAACAAGTATCTGTTCAATCAGTAGAATAGCACCACCAGCTTGGAGAGCCAGGAAGCAGAGCCTGAGATTTAGCAAACGGTGGTTTAAGTAATACTGTTAGCATGTTGTAATTTAGTACTGATTGTATTAACAGCAAATATTTAGAATTAGAGCGAAATGCTTCAGAAATTCTGGCTAGTATTTAGAAGGGCTGAAAAAGAAAACTAGAATATAAACTGTAAGGTCAAGGAAATAAATCACACATTTGTTGTAGCTATTGGTTTAAATATTAGTATTGTTTTGTTTTTATCTGTTTGTTTGATCCTGTTTGGATCATTTTACTAGTTATGCATTTATAGGCCTGGTAATCCTGATGGAATTGGTTATGGCAGATTGGGCATAATAGAATCGAATTTTGAAATTAGAATTTTTTTTCTGTCAATCTATTGGGTCTTAACTACAAAATATCATATGTCATACTTATCACTGGTTTTCATGACTGATCTTTTCAGGATACGTTTAGAATTTATTGGAAAGTTTTTCATACTAAATAACTCTTTTTATATGAATTTTGGAACTAGTGCCACAATTGGATTTTTTATTTTTCAATGCTCAAGCTCTGTAGTATATATGCTTCGCTTACTTTTCTTAACCCCTTTAATAGTAAGCCAAACTGCATTGTACTGAACATCAAGTCAAAAAAAATGTTTTTTGATCTTTATTTGTGTTAATAGATTTAGGATAGAGCATGTAAATTATGGGAACAATGGGGTTAAAGACATTTATGTGAACACAGCCCGACTCTGAGGATTTTCGGGCTCTAACGTTCATTCGCTGTTACTCGGTGCTCTGTTCTGGTGGATGTGGTTTTAGACCTGTCTTAGCTATACTAAGCCAAGGTTATATTTCGTTTTGTTTCTTAATGTACTGAACCTTTTAAGATTGTATAACAAGTTATCTTTAAGGAGAGATAAAATAATGCTGAATTTAAAACTCAACATTTGGACATCTGTCCAATAGTGAGTCAGTTTTTTCACATTGGTTTTAAAGTTCTTTGGGAAAAAAAATACATAAAATCTTTTATGTTTATAATAGTAATAGTTAATGAGTACATTTTCTATATGTCATGTGTTAGTATACAACACATAGTTTCATAGATAAAGGTATAGTTTGAATTTAGATATTAGTTTAATGCCTTTAGTTTTTGCTACTTTGAAATTCACAGAAGTATTACTGATTACTGGAATTTAACTTGAAGCAAAAGTAAGAGCTGCAATCTTTTTTAAACAGTTTGCAATTCTGTCATCAAGATTACTTATTCATGGTGTGTATAAATAGGAGATTAATATATGTCAAGGTACTTTGAAGTTGTTACAGTTTAAGGGGCATTTTTACGAAGGAATCGTATTTATCTCTTCATTTTCATGAACATAACAAGTGAAGGATGACCTAACATTTTATATTTGGTTGACTTCTACTCACTATATGTACTTAGAAGATTTGCATTGTCACTAGAATGTACACCCTAATCCAAGGTCTAGTATTAGGCCAGATTGTTATTTTCATCTGTGGTAAATGTTATATTGACGTCTCCTTTTTGATAAGACTCTCTGGAAAATTTTAAACTATGAAAATTGTTTCATAATGGGTAGCTATTACTTCATGTTTCCTTTACTTACTTTTTCAATCTTTATAAAAGCTTTGTGAAAGCTTTCTAAGCTACTATTCCAAATAAAGTCGCTGGCATGTTTGTAAATGTATGATGCAGGTGATTTCCACCCCCTGACCCAAGGGTCCAGAGAAGCGTCCAGACAGCTGTAGAATGGTGCTGTGATGATTGTGCCTGGATGTCTTCTCATCCCAGGTTCAGGTACTGCCTACTAGGAGAAGCGTTCAGGACAGTATAAAGTTGAAGATTGCGTTTACCGTATTTTAATAATTAAATTAATTAAAAGTTTAATACCTTAATTACCAAAGTTTTAACCTATCATTGATTTTATATCATCTTTGAAAATGTTCTTAATGCTGACAGCTACTTTAATTATTCCCATGAAAGAAGGACTATTAAGAAACTTAAAATTCAATATCCTGGAGCCAGCAGATGGCGTAGTGGTTATGTTGCTCAACCCCCACATGGCCAACCATGGTTCAAGTCCTGGACCCAGTGACTTGAAATGCACAGCGGGTGTGTGTGCATGAGTGCCCAAGATTACAGGAGGAGAATGGAGGGGAAGAGATTGTGGCGTGACCATTCCCCCTGAGGGGTGATTTCTCACTTTCCCTCTCACTGTCTCTGTCTCTCTAGTCCTCTGTAATGTATTTTAGACATGAAGAACTAGCTTAGCACACTGAAGAAAGAACGAACGAAAGATAACTGAGTCCTATGTTTATCTCTAAAATGCATTCACTTGTTTCCCTTTTTAAATTTTTTAACTTTATGGGGCCAGCAGGTGGTGTGGTGGATTAGGGCGCTGGATTCCCATATGGCGAACCATGGTTTAAGTCCTGGACCTGGTGGCTTGCTTTCTCACTTTCCCTTTCTCTCTCTCTCTCTCTCTTGTCAAGTAAAGAAAAAAAATAACAATAACAAATGGAAATAAATAAATAATTCTTTAAAAAAATTTTAACTTTATTTTCATAATCTTTTTTATATTACATTGAATCACGTATAATTTATAGTATATTACATATCTTTTTTTTTTTTTTTTTTTTTTTTGGAGAGATTTTCACTGTACGGCGCGTGCGCTCGCCAGACAGACAGAGAGAGACATAGAGACAGAAAGCGAGAAATCACCCCCCAGGGGGGATGGCC